CAGCTGACAGTATTTCTTAGGGCTCTTCTAATCAAAGCTTGGAAAGAAATCCTGGCTTCATTTCTATTCGTAGTTTGTGCTCAGCCAACCCCTTGCTAGAAAGAGCTCAGTAGAACAGAAGCTGAACATCCATGATCTGGACCAGCATTCTTGATGAATTGGTTTATAACAAAGACTGTAGAAATACTGCTGGTGCCTCCTCCCACGTACATCAGTGTTTTGAAATGGGTGAATAAGCAAAGATTGCTGGAGTTCCAACCGTGGGCCAGGCACCAGGCTAGATGTTAAAACATCCATTGCTTCATTTATAATATCTGTGTATGGCAGATACTATTAGCTGGATGTTACAGATGAGGAAACAGAAACTCAGTGAAATTAGTGGAATTGCCTAAAGTCCTGCCGCCAGTAATGGACAGAGCCAAAGTTAGAACCCACATTTCTCATTTCAAGTCCAACGCCCTTTCCATTACATGCAGTGTCCTAGGAAGCCTAGAAATGCCACCAGCCATGTGGAAGCAAAATGAATGCAAGAGGAGTGTTAGCAATTCCACTGTCACTTTCTTCCAGACCAGACACAACCTCGTCACTTGGTGTATCCCCAGTGGTCAACTCTGAGTCCTGCTCCCCATCAGCCTCCCTGGCTCCAACTTGCCACACTTGCCCTGCTAGAGGAGTGTTACATGTCTCCTTATAATTTAGCATTTCAAATCCAGACCCCTCTTGACCTGGGCTTTCTCATTCCCCCCACCCCCACCCCACCATTTCCAACTTACCCTTGCTGATCCAATCAAGAAAACCTACTCACAACCCTTCAGATGGCTTCCACTTCTTTCTACATCTTGGGTGCACCTCTGCCCCAATAAGAACACATCTCCCTCTGCCCTGTTCTTCCGGGTTTCTCTCTTTCTTCACATCTCTCTTTAAACTCATCTTCTCTGGGAACAACTGGTTAAACTCACTAACTCATTAGCTCACTAGCCCTCGGGAAAAACATAGACACTGAGGTCAGAAAGAATTGGAGTCTAGTGCTAATGTGACCCGTAACTAGCTATCTGACCTTAGTTGAGTCTTTTTTGAACCTGTTTCCTTTGCTGGAAAACAGAAATCTCCACCCTTACATCTTGCCTAACCACAGCACAATCGATACAGGCTAATCTGATTGAGTACCTGACTTTGGGAGTCAAACTGCAAGAGTGGAATCCTGGTGATATCACCTGGAGCCAATTAATGAGTTTCTCTAAGCATCAATTTGCTCATGGGTAAAGTGAGTTGATAGGTGTTTCCATAGAGTTGTGACAGCTACAAAATGAGACAATATATGTAAAACACTTAGCAGAATACCTTTAGGACATAATTGCTTAACAAATGTTAGTTGTTGTTGTTGTTGTTCCTGTTATTCTTGTTGTTGTTATTTATCTATCACCTACCTGACCAGGTGAATGTGAAAACAAAATAAAAGACCTTGGGTCAGCTGTGTGTTGAAGCAGGCTATGTCAGCCATGATGTGAGTATTTCACTACACAGATCAACAAATGCTTCAAGTCAGGGTAGGGAGTTCTTTTTCTTTCTTTTTTTTCAGAGATTCTGTTGTTAAACATTTACCAGCACACCACTGTGCCTGGAACATGATAGATACTCTGGCTGTGTGTGTGTGTGTGTGTGTGTGTGTGTGTGTGTGTGTGTGTGTTTACTTTCTGTAAAATTCTACTCAGACTCTTTTCTCTGATCCCAACCTCCTACAGTAATTCCTGCCATAATTCATTCCTTCCCAATTCCCTACCCATGAAAAAGTCACGCAGCTTTCAATTTTGCCTTATTAATGGAAGGGCACCATCTAGCGATGGAAATAGCAATACCATCTCTGTAATGTCTTTGCTACAGCAGGGATAGTACAAACTACTGCCTGGAGGCTAGATCTGGCCCTCTGCCTGATTTTATAAATAAAGTTTTATTGGAACACAGGCATACACATTCATTTACAAATCATCTATGGGCTTTTTTCAGGTTCCAACAGCAGAGCTGGTTCATTGTGGCAGAGATGGTATGGCCTGCAAAGTCAAAAATATTCCCTATCTAGACCTTTACAGAAGCAGTTTGCTGACTCCAACCTATAGTACAGTCATATCAACTGCTTTCTTTACATTTACCCACCTATGTTCATAGACCCCAAGATCATCAGATTTATTGGCTTCCTGACACTTGATGCCCCATTTTTATAGGTAATAGGTCATTTCCAATATCCCTGTTATAAGTAATTCTGGAGTGATGGGATGTCACTTTCATTGTAAAACTGTTGAGGTGCCCCTAAGGTAAAGAGCACACTTTGTCACCAGAAGAAAAACACCCACAGAATGTCTCTGCCATTCAACTGACTGTGTTATTTGGGCAAAGCCAATTAATACTTCTGAACCTCGGCACTATCATCTGATAAGTGGTACAAACAGTATTATTTGCCTTCCTGGGTTGTTGTGGGGAAGAAATGAGATCACTTTTTAGCTAGCCTTTCACATGCTACAAAAACAAGCTCAATAATGTTAGGTTTTTTATTACCTATTTTTCCAAGGGGTGGGGTGTGCACCTTTCCTCCCACCCCTCACTGTTCTCCAGCCATACGGGTGCCTTTGCAGTCGCTCCATCAGGCCAATCTCTTTCTGGCCTCAGGACCTTTGCACATGCATTTTCTCTGCCTGTAACAATCCCCTTTGCCCAGGTGACTTCTCATCCTTTAGGCCTTAGCTTAAAGGTCACATCTTCAGAGGAATCTTTTCTAACCATCTTACCTAAGTATGACTCTCCTTTCATCCTCATAATTCCACCTAAATATTTCATTCATTTGCTGATTTAACAGCATTCATAACAATCTGTAATTATAGGCTTCACGTTTGCTTCTTTAATGACTATCTTCCTTTCTAAAACGGGCAGGGACCATAACTGCTTCATTTACTTTTGCCTCCCTAGTACCAAGCAGAGTACCTGGCCCGCATTACGCATGTAATAGATATTTGTTAGATCAGTGGGTGGATGAGGCTCAGAGCTGGCACTTTTCATCTCCCATTACCCCTATTTATGTACTCATTTTGCCCTCACCAAACACTCACATGTGTGATTACAATCTCCTTGGGGAGGTGATCATGTTTTCCCCTCTCTGTGGCCCTAAAGAACCTGAAATTGATCAATTAATCAAATACTATTTGTTGAGAAGGGGAAAGATGAATAATTCAGAAGTCTCCAATCCTGTATCTTCCTTTAGCACCAGTCTATGACCATGGGGTAGGAGGTACCTTCTGCATCTCAGTGTCATCTGTGCAATGAGCATAATATTATAATCCCGCCTCCTTCCCACAGAGCAGATTGCATTTGTGAAAGGGGCTTATAAACTGCAAAGTACCATGCAAAAATCTTACTGAATTCCCTTGTGAGTTCTTGGAAATTGCCACACCGATCCCGTGCTGTCAACATGGCAAGTAGCGAAATTCTTTTAAGCCCTGAGAGTTTGCTTACAGTTACTAACAGTTCTCTGTGCATTACGTGTTCCCAAGTGCACTCGAGGCAGGAAGCCAGAAGAGAAGCTGCCTGAACAAAATGAGGCCTGTCACACGTGAGTTCTTTAATTGCCCACAGCTGGATTCACTGAGCCCGTCTCACGGTGGGTTATTTCAGGACACTGGACAGCTCCAGACCCAAGGCAAAGCCTAGAAGGGGCCCAGGGAGGCATTGTTATCCTGGGCAGGCTGTGATCCAGGGGGAGCCCTACTTGATGGGATCTGACAGCAGAAGTTCAGTAGAGTGAGGGAAAGGACAGCAGAGACGGTAGCTGGCCTTGCTTTTGTGTGCAATGACTCCAGGAAAGGCCAAGGTCTGAGTGGAAAGGGTGGAAGATCTAAATAGGCACACAGACCTTAAATTCTGTCTCATCTGAGGGATTAATTCCAGGACATAAAAGCACATGAATTGGTGTTAGGTGTTGGTGTCAATGGCCTTTCAAAGCTGGAATGTATAGGGTTCTCTTCAAGAATCAGAATCAGGAGGTGAAGCATGGCCTTTGGTGCCCAATAATCCTGGGTTTGAATCTCTCCTCCATACCATAATAGCTGTGTGACTTGGGCAAGTGTTTCAACCTCTCTGAACTCAGGTTTCCCATCTACAGCATGAAGGTAATAATACCTGTATTACTGAATCATTGTTCTCTATTCTTCACCCCTTCCTATGTCCACACCCTTGCCATGGCCTCATCATGGGTATAGTATACTTCCCTGCCCTTTTTACTGGCCCACATGGCCTGCTTGGCCAATGATACATGAATGGAAAGGCCATTGACCTGAGACAAACATACCCTGGTTAAGACTGATAGCAGGAAGAGGATGGGGATACGCAGACCAGAGCCATATCAGCCAGCCCACACAGTCACAGTGGGGAGCAAAGCTATTCCAGCTAAATTAGGCTTGAACCGGTCAAGTTCCAGCCAATCCACAGGTGTGTAAGTGATAAGCCATTGTTTTAAGACACTGAGTTGTGAGGTGGTTTGTTGCACAGCAATAGCTAGCAGATTCAATCACCAATAACACCTACCTCTCAAGTTTGTCATACAAATTTTATCACGTGTGTAAGTTTTGAGCACAGACTCCAACAAAGATGAGAAGCCCAGTAAATGAGGGCTCTCTCTTCTCCTACCCTGAATGCAAAATTTGTCTGGTGACTGCTGCTGGTTTCTACATTATCTGATGTTTCCAACTTCTGCTTCGGAGATACCACCAGTGACCTTAAGGAGAAGAATGCTTCCCTTCCCTATTTCATTTGCCTGGCGCCAATTAAATCAAATTTATGGAATTTACTCTGGTTGGTAATTATCCTGGGGAATTTATTTTGAACTGTTTAAGAAGATACTTCACCCTCCTCCCCACTTCACCCCCGAAATCTGCTGGCTGTGGGGCAGAATTATGGCTGCAAAGTCTCAACTGCAAGGGAAAGAAGATATTGCATTATTTATTTCTTTGTATTTGTATTTATCAAGACAGGTAAGGGATTTCAGGCTATTCAAATTTCTTATTAGAGAGGAGGAAAGTATCAAGAATTTAGTTTCTCAGGCTGCTACAACTTTACTATGACCAGTTCAAAATGAAGTTAATTATATCGCTAAGCCCTGAGTGGTTCCTACAAGGCCACATGGCTCATTAGTTCATACTGTTATTTATTCAGTCCTTCATTTTCTCAGCTGTATAAGATTGTGGTAGCAGACAGGAGCTCTAGAGCTAGATTGCCTGGGTTCAAAAACTGTCTCTGCCAATTACCAGATGTGTGATCTTGGGTAAGTTACTTAACTCTGTGAGACTTATTCTCCTTGTCTATAAAATGAGAGTAATAATTGGTGGCCTCATACAGTTGTGAGGCCGAAATGAGACAGGGCATGTAAAGGTGTGAAGTGTTCAAGGCTTAATAAAGGCCCACTCCATGCTCCATGGAGGCTTCCCATGGACTCTGCTCTATACAAGGGATCCAGCAATGAACAAGACATCATCTGTGCCTAGAGGAAGGCACAGTCTTGTGACAGTCATTGAAAAGTGAGAGCAGAGAGAATCCAACCAACTCAGCTTGAGAGGTGAGAAGTCAAGGAGGACTTCCTGAAGGAAGTTACTTTTAAACTGAGTTCTGTAGGATGCTCTGTTTTATTGGTCTCTCATACTCATCCTGACTCCTGCTTAGGGATGATTCCACAAGTCTGCAGAGCCCCATGTATTTGCACATGGCCAGAGGGAATGAGAGAGGCTCAGGAGAGCTTAGAAACAAAGACAATTAGCTCACATTTATTAATCCCCTAGGATGAGTCATATACTTTCACATAACTTTTCTTACTTGACCCTCACAAGTCTAAAAAGTAGTTTTATTCATTTCATTCTACATATAAGGAAATTGAGCCTTCAAGAGGTTGACTTGTCAGTCACACAACTAGCAAATGGCTGATCAAGGGTTCAAACTCAGATTTCCCAACTGTAGACCCAATTCTGTCTTCATTGTGCCCCCCCAGAACATTCTGAAAAGAAAATACAACCAGTTATTGGGTTGGAAAAGAAGAAGGGCCAGCTCTGCTGGATACATTTCCTCTTACTTATATTTCTGCAATGTCATTAAGTAATGACATTAATCAGTAATCATTAAGTAAATCAAAATCTAAAAACAGAGTCAGAATTAAAACTATAATATTCCCAAAAGTTATAGGAACTCTTTTATCAGTAGCTGCTGACCCCCACCCTGTGCCCCTCAAAAAAAATCCATCAAGAGTCCCATACAGAAAACATCTTATTTTAGGGCTGGTATTGGTTGGGTTGTAATTTTCCTTGTAATTCTCAAAGAATGAAATATAAACTCCCCTTTTCTTCTGCCTTTAAATTCAGAACAGGAGACCTGAAATAATACTGCAAAAAATATAGCAAACATGAAAATGTGTTTAATTTTCAAATTATGACAAATTAGGTTAGAGGAAAGGAAAGGCATGAAACAGGAAGAAAATTATGTAGGGTACAGGAGAGTGAGGGAAGAGGCTGAGAGAAAGGAGAGGAGAAACAGACAGAATGAGCCCGGTTGAGAAAGAAAAGACCCCAGAGAAGGAGAGAGAAACAAATGCAAGAGAAAGAGGGAGAAAGTATGCATGAGGAGACATTGTAGGAATTGGATCACCTAATTATGGAGGCTGAACAGTCCCAGGATCTGCTATCTGCAAGCTGGAGACCCAGGAAGGCAGTGGTGGAATTCAGTCTGAGAATTCCTAAGAATTCTCTCAGTGTGAGTTCAAAAGCCTGAGAACTGGGAGCTCTGATGTCTAAGAACAGCAGATGATGGATGTTTTCAGCTCAAGCAGAAAGAACAAATTTGCCCTCCCTCTGACTTTTTGTTCTATTTGGGCCCTCGGTGGATTGGATGATGCACATCCACATGGGTGAGGGTGACTCTTCTTTACTTAGTCTACTGATTTAAATGCTGATCTCACCCATAAACACCCTAACAGGCACACCCAGGAATAATATTTTATCAGCTATGTGGGCATCCTTTAGCTCAGTCAAGTTGACATGAAATTAACCATCACAAGAAGAATGCTGGTGAGAAAGGAGGCATAAAACTCTAGACTTGGGGAAAGGCTCCACAACTTATGAAACAAGTTCAAGTGCGAAGTCATGGTTGGCCACAGCTTTCAAGATGCTTTGGCCTACTTCCTCCTTTCTTTTCACAGACTGATTGCTAGGTAACCATTAGTCTCATTCTTCTACCTGGCTGTTCCTTAAAGGACCTTCACGTAGGAGGACATTCCACAGGAGGAAAATTGTTCTCAGAACAACTGTAAACATACTCTGAGAACTGCATGAAAAATAGATATAGGACTACACTTCCCCCTGCTTACTAATTTGTGGTACTATTAGAAAATTATTTCACCTAATATTTGAGATGCTTCCCTGGAAGACCAAGTCAATGAGCCATTTCCCTCGAGGCTCTTTTAGGCTCTATGATGTTGAAAACAGCTTCAACAGAATCAGTTCTTAGGTAAAGGAGAAACTGAAGTGAAACAGAACAGAAACCAATTGATTTTTCTGAAACCCAGCAGTTTTTCCCTGTGAACAGAGATCGCCGGCCACACTGCTTAATAGAGCTGCGCCCGCCTCCGAGTTTCTCTTTCGGCATTTTTTCTTCCTGGAGCTCAGGCTCTTGCAGCCCTCTGAGAAATGCAAGCAGAAGGAACTGCGGGAGACCAGGGAAGACAAATAAATCTGGTCTGACACCTCAGACTGTGGTCTGGGTGGCCACCAGGCTGCAAGTGGCCGGAACCAGTTCTGGATCCATCAGACTTAAAGGGCCAGGTCAAGAAAGCTTGAGAGAAGCCCTCTTGTCCTTTTGTGCCCCTCTGCCCTCTCCCCAAGCCCTGAGGTAGCCAGTCAAGGCCAGCCTGGCTCCCTAAAAAGGACGTTATGAGTGGCAGGGGCCTGGAACCCTCCCTACTGCCCAGAGACCCTTCTAGACCCTGGTGAGGAGAAACGAGATGTATGTGTGCACAGGGCCACCACTATCCGGAGGGCAGTCAAAGCTAAAGGAAAGGCTGGGCGCGGTGGCTCACGCTTGTAATCCTAGCACTCTGGGAGGCCGAGGTGGGAGGATCGCTCAAGGTCAGGAGTTTGAAACCAGCCTGAGCAAGAGCGAGATCCCATCTCTACTATAAATAGAAAGAAATTAATTGTCCAACTAATATATATAGAAAAAATTAGCCGGGCATGGTGGCGCATGCCTGTAGTCCCAGCTATCGGGAGGCTGAGGCAGGAGGATCACTTGAGCCCAGGAACTTGAGGTTGCTGTGAGCTAGGCTGACACTATGGCACTCACTCTAGCCTGGGCAACAAAGTGAGACTCTGTCTCAAAAAAAAAAAAAAATGCTGAAGAAATTCTTAGGTTCTGCCCCTTCATTTTGTTGCCAAAAAACCCTGAACAAGTAATACATTAATGCAATATTATACAAATTAAAGCTATGCCAAAATACATAAAGTAAAAAATGAAAGCCAAAGTCCCCTCACTAACCGCCGCCCCCAACCCTTTCTTCTCCCTAGAAGTAATTATTAATAAGAGTTTGTTGTGTCTCCTTCTAAATTTTTTATGCATTTGCCTACACGTCCATATACATATGTACAGTTTAAGGACTTTATTTTGATAAATAGGATTGTGCTGTCGACACAATTCTGTCACTGGCTTTTGGTATTCAACAATACATCTTTCCATGTTTTCTCATATTTGCATGTCAGTACATAGAGTTCCCCTTCATTATTCTCATTTGCTACAATAGTTTGATGGATAATTAGATTGTTTCTAATTTTTCACTATTACAAACAATGTTGCAATGAACACTCCTAGTAGATGTATCTGTGCCCAGGAGCTTACTATTTCTACAGATAGCTGGAAGGGGAATCGCTAAGGCAATTTTCCATACAAAAAACCTGAGGCCCAGAGAGGGGAAGGGTTGCTCAAGGTGACTTAAAATGTTAGTTGCATAACTGGGAAGAGAAGTCAAAGGTCCCCGAGTGCCAGGCCAGGCTGCACTAGGGCAGCACCCTTGTTGGGACTGTGAGCTTGGACATGCCCAATCCACTCCAAAAGGCCGTGGGATTTCAGACCCCGAACTGAACAGGCAGCAACAAATGTTCAGAAGCAAAGAAGACTGTCACAATTTTAACATCACGAGGCAAAGGGTAGGGTGGCGAGAGGTACCCCACAGAGCCCAGCAGCAGGCACACTGAGCTTGGAATATGCATCCTTCAGCTGCAGTCCTGGCGCCCCTACCCTCTCTACCTGTGTGATTTCCTACGGCTGAGACTCTGTTTCCTCCACTGTAAATGGACTTAGTGTCTACCTTACAGGTTTATCGCAAGCACTGACTAAGGTCATACACCTGACACCCATGATAATGATTAGCATTTCCTGAGCTCTTCCTGTGCCAGGGACACTGCTAAGCACTTTCCCTGAATCAGATCATTTGACTCTCACAACGACCTTATGAGGTCGGTCCCCTTTTGTACCCATTTTACCAGTGAGGAGACTGAAGCTCAGAGAGTAAGTCTTTGCCCAAAGTTACCCAACTACTACATGACAAGCCCAGGAACTGAATCCAGTTAGTCTGGCTCCAGAGGTAAACTCCTGGCCATAAGAAAGGCACTCAAAGCCTGTGGGCACCCTGGCATGGGCATGAAGGCCCCAGGCAGGGCAGGGCAGGGCATGATTCTGGAGTTATGAGGCCACTGGGTAGGGACTGAAACAAATGAGCCCCAACTGGAATGTGCTGGGCCCTGGCAACTGCAGAGTCCCGATGCTCCATCTCTGAGGTCTGCTCCCAGGCTCCGCCACCGCAGGCCCTTACCATTGCTATTCCACACCATAATTAGCCAGCCCTGCAGAGAACTGCAAGTACCTGGGGCCGGCAGGGCCTAATGGAAGCACAGTGGCCATAATTGCCTCCATCCATCACCCCAGCCCACGCAAGGGGACACAGTCTGGTTAGAGATTTAAACAAGCTGTTTCTCTGCAGAAACTAGGGCTAATGACATGGTCCGCCTTGCTCAGAGTTTGAACAGGCATGCAGAACAAAGGGCCATGCAGGCTTTGGGGTCATAGAAAAAAAAAAGAAGAGAGAAGAAGGGGATAGAGGAGGGAGAGAAGAAGCAGAGGGAGAGAGAGACAAAGACAGACAGAGATACGGAGAGATGGTAAACTTAGTAGAAGGTAGAAGACAAGAAAATGTTTCTTAGACTGAACCCTCAGCCCCTTTGGGGATTCTCAAATGCTCAGGTATGTAGGTAGATAGATAAATACATATGCATAGAGATTATATGTATGCATGTGTACATACATATACACATGCATATAGACATGTTTATATGTTTTCATTTTGATGCTACCCTAAAAAATAAATACAACTTGGTCTCTGATTAGTCCTCCTTTTCAACAGAGTACTGCCAGCCGATATAACCATCCAACCTCCCCACCACCTGTGAAATGCAGATAACAACACTTCTTCTTCCAGGTTACTGTAAAAGATAATGTATATAAAGTGCAGAGTACATTCATATTAAATAATAGTCATTATCACTATTTTTGTTAACCAGATATTTATGAGGAGTGGCTATCTGCGCAGGTTTGGGAAAGTGTGTTTAGAGAAGGTGGCATCTGAGCTGGGTTTTGAGGGATAAGGAGAAGTTCACCAAGCCAACAAGGAAGGAGGTGGGCTTTCCAAGTATAAGGGAGGAAGTCTTCCAAACAGGAATAGCCAGATATGCTCGGAAATGGCTGGAATGTAGGGAGTGAGAAAGGGTGGGTAGGAGAGGAAGCCAAAGAGGTCAGCAGGAACCAGAACGAGGAGCTCAGACCTTGTGTCACTGGCTATGGGAGCCAGAGCCCTTCCTTGGGCCCCATGGTCCCAGGCCCAGAAAGTTCTCTAAGATCACCACATTAGCAGGCAGGGGGATTCCCATAGCAGGCCAAAAGAAAGGCATTAGTGGGTGGCAATATTTCTTTTGGAAGTTTCTGTCACAATAGACAAGAGCTAAGTTGTACAATTTTATTTTACTTGGAATATGTGGGGGAATCCACCCTCCCTACCCCCACACCCACACTCACCCACAGACGTCTGATGAAACAGTCATCTATGCTACACTTACTGTGTTTAAAGAAAAAAGAGATTTGAGCTGAGTGCCATGTACAAACAAAGGGGAGGAAGAGACTGCTATGTTTCACCAAGATGTGTGTTTTTTCTCTTCTTCCCGAGGCTGTGACTGGGTTGCATTAGCCAGCCTCCCTTGCAATCCAGTGAGGCCATGGGGTGGGCGCTGTCTGCTTTTCCAGTCCTGTTGGATTCTGAGCACTGTCTCTGCCGGCCCCTCCTCCTGCTTTGGGGCACTCTGATTCCAGTGGTTTGCCTGTGACTTTCTTTTGAGGACTGTCCTTGGCTAATGGAGCCCTGTACTTGTCAAAGGCCAGATATACCTTGGAGTTGACAATCCCCTAGCCCCCCAGGAGACCCCTTAGCCAGAGTATGAAATCCTAGATACCTTGCCTTGGGGTAGGGCCTACTTGGGGTAGAGCTCCCTGCATGATCAGGCCAGCTCTGGGACTTTCCCTAAAATTACCGGTTCTCCCAGGAGCACCTCCTGCACAGTAGTCCCCATCTCAGGGCCTGCTCTTTGGGGGACCCCCCCCCAGGACACCACATGAATTGAGTTTCAGCCAGCGGAATGTGAGCAGAAGGGCCACGTCCTAGGCTCACCTATAAAAACCTGCTTGGACTCCCCAAGACTCTTCTCCTTTCAAGCTGATGGGAAAAGAAAGGACCCAGAGGGTCACCTTGGAAGACACTTATTGGTGATGGCAGAACCTCCAACAGCCTGGATGCTTGAATTACTACATGGAAGAAAGATATGCGCCAACGAGGAACACTAAGTTGGACTGTGGGGTGAGGGAGAAATAAAGTTTTATAGTGCCAAGCCACTGAAATATTTGTATTTATTGGTTATGACACCTAGCATCACCCACACTAAAATAGAAAGTGGCTTTATTCTGGCTCTCAGTGAGGTCTAGAAAGAGTGAGAAGCAATTTCAGAAAATCATTTATACACCCTATGTTGGATCCTAGGGAATCCTGTGAGCTTTGGACACCTGTTGTAAAGTGACAGGATTTAAGGCCTCTTCCATCAGGACCAGAATTCTCAACTCTGCAAACATTCCCAAGTGTCTGAGATTCTGTTGAAAAGGGGCCTTTCACAAAACAATTCATACAGTGCCCATATAATAAGGGAAAATATTATTAATATAGATACTATTCATAATTGTCCATTCGCCCCTGGATTCTAAGGACAAAAATGATTCTTCTTGTCTTAGGAAGATCCCTAAGATCACCTTGGTTGTGGAGAGTCTGGATAATAGGCAGGCGAGAGAAAACAGAAGTCAGAGAAGCTAAAACTGTACCCACGAAAAAGAACCACGATGGTATGGCTGGAAGGTTGCGAAGCAGAAATGCCACGTGAGCTGGATACTAGAGTGAGTTTAAAAAGTTAGGAGTTGGGTACAAAAAACAAAAGAGGGTTTAGTGTGAGCAGCTGCTATCCAGGTGGAAGAGGCAATAACGGCAGTGACCTGGAGAGAGGAATTTTTGTGATGTTTTCTCTGAAGATGACCTCTGTCTTTGCATTGCCTTAAAAGACTAAATATAGACTTAAAATATTTATAATAAATTTTTGATTCCTAGGCTGTTCCTGGGAAAGCTGGGATATATTAGGATTATACTTCCAACTACTTTCAAGGGTCTCTAGGATTCTGTAGCAGAGTCCAGAATACTTTTCTTTTCTCCATTCTCATGATCGGAGGCATACATAGTTAAAACACTCCAGCCCCAACAAGTTTCCTAAACCTCTACTATGAACCACCACCTTTCCCATCCTATTCTGTGCTTCCCTGGCAACTTGCCTATGCCTCCGGCACTTAGTTGCATTACCTACTAATCAGTTAACTGATAACATGTTTGATTTTTCAACTTGGTTGTGAAACCTTTGATGACAGTTATTACCTATTTATCCTCATAGCATCTGTCTTGCACTCAATAAATGTAAAGATTTCTGTCTTGTTCATCACTCTTTCTTCAGCACCTTCAAGATTATGATTTATGGTAGATGCTTGGTATAATAAATGTTTGTTGAATGAATTATTAATAAACAGTCAATCAATCATATCAATTAGATTTGAGTTGATAATAACCACAGTCTCCAAGTAAAGCAGGTCCTAGCAGCCCTCATTGCTACCCAGGGGTTCCCACTAACATTCATTTTTGCAATAAATTTGCTCTATGCTTATAGGTGAGACCCATTTTAGACCCAACCAACCTCAGCTGAGATAGACAAAGACTAGGAAAGAAAGCCAGAGCTGAACTACACCTCATCTACTTCCTGGATTGCTACAAAAGCCCCAATTATAAATATCTCATGCCCTTTATGCCAAATGCAAATATAACATCTGTTTTTTTATTGTTGTTTTTGTTTGTTTTGAGACATATTCTTGCTCTGTTGAATATGTCTCGAGTGCAGTGGTGTCATCACAGCTCACAACCTCAAACTCCTGAGCTCAAGTGATCCTCCTGCCTCAGCCTCCTGAGCATCTGGGACTACAGATGCTTGCCACCACACCCAGCTAATTTTTTTTCTATTTTTAGTTGCCTGGCTAACTTTTTCTATTTTTAGTAGAGATGGGGTCTCGCTCTTGCTCAGGCTGGTCTCGTACTCCTAATCTCAAGTGATCCTCCCACCTCGGCATCCCAGAGTGCTAGGATTACAGGCGTGAGCCACCGTGCCTGCACTAGCATCTGTATTTTGGTTCAGAAAATATATCCTCTCCTTGACTTTGTCCCTTAACATAGGTGACAAAACATGGGCCCCAGAGTTTACATACCCATTCCTCTGATGGCTTTGCTCAAGTTATATACCATCTCTAAACCTCAGTTCCCTCATCATTAAAACGGGCATGACAACATGTGCCTTACAGAAAGTTTATGAAGATTGATAGAGGTGATCTAAGCAAACTCCCAACCCAATGTACATAGTGACTCAAAAAACACTTCTTTTCTTCCTGGCTGATGGCACATACACAAATAAAGACAGAAAAAAGGAAACCACATTCGATGTTTTCTGGACAAAAAGGAAATAGCTGTAGGTCTTTTGTGACCTTCAATATCACCTAAGGAAAGAAGACCGTGCGCAAACCACGTGGCCAAAATTAAGTCTCCTTAGCAGCACACCTTCATTCAGAGACATGGCGCTGACAAGGGCAGGAGGTAGGAGATGGAATCCTTTATGTTGTATCTCTTAAGACAGGAAGAAATTGACAGTTTAGTCCATTTATCTTAACTGGATAATTTACAATTGTGACTCAATTTGTAACAGAAGAAAAACCCATTATCTTTGTTATTTTTATTTTTTAAGGGAATAGTGGAAGAAATTCATATAGCTAAAGAGGGCCAAAGATGAAATTCCTCTCTAAAGAACAGAGAAAGGGGCCAAATGCGGTGGCTCACACCTGTAATCCTAGCGCCCTGGGAAGCCAAGGCGGGTGGATCACTCAAGGTCAGGAGTTCGAGAGCAGCCTGAGCAAGAACAAGACCCCGTCTCTACTATAAATAGACATAAATTAATTGGCCCACCAAAAATATATAGAAAAAATTAGCCGGGCATGGTGGCACATGCCTGTAGTCCCAGCTACTTGGGAAACTGAGGCAAGAGGATGGCTTGAGCCCAGGAGTTTAAGGTTGCTATGAGCTAGGCTGACGCCACGCCACTCCAGCCTGGGTAACAGAGTGAGACTCTGTCTCAAAAAAAAAAGAACAGAGAAAGGATCAAAGTAATTTTTGGTAATTTCTTTCCAGTTGAGATGTTGCTGACAATACTGGACAACTACCAGGTTTGAAATGACCACCCCCCAGGTGTTGTTTAATCACATCATCCAAATGCTTGAGAAATATCCACACATATTCGGCTGATCTCATGCCTGAATGAAGAATATAATTGTTACTCTAAAATATGTTTGTTAAAATTACATGGTATGTCAAAATGCAGCATTCTGGCAATGATATTTAAATTTTCATGGGTTTTTTACTCTTTCATAATATTTAAATAGTTGGACTATGAGACTAAACCACTTAACAAAGCAAGTTTACTCACAGCATTTTTATACAGACCCTCATTCAAAGGTTTGAGTTCTCTCTTAGAAACTCCTCATTTATATTAGAAGAGAGAAGAGGGGACCTACCTAAACACTGTAGATAACTTTGACTCAAAATTTCTCTTGAATTAAATTATTTGGATATTTCTCATGGAAAATAATCCAGGGACCTGAATAACATGGATAATCACTTTTATTATATAAGTTATTCTGCTAATTCTGGCAGAAATGACTGGCCTTGGAGAGTTTTTAAAGGAAGCATTTCAGAAAATCAGAATAATATTTAATATTTTTTCCACTGAATTCATAGGCCCACATGAAGAAAAAGGGTTAATGACTATATAGAGAACCAAAAAATCTTAGATCTAAAAAGGACCTCATGCTCAAAACTTCTAAAGAGACCCATAACTTACAAAAGAAGACTTGAAAGAACATTTTATCTCTTGATTCCAACAATCACTGTGTGAAATATGGATTACAATCTCTGTGTTTACAGATAAGAAAACTGATTCAGAGAGGAAAATATTTTGATCAAGGCCACACAATACATAAGTGGTAAACTTTGGCTGGACCCCAGATCTTCTCCTTCCACAACCAGATAAGTCTAGGTATCTTCAAGGATTAGACTGAGAACCTGTGGTCCCAGAGATGACCTCTGATGGTAAGTCACCATGGTGTCCTGTGTTTTATCCCATCTCAGCACAGGCTAAACATTAGAATCAGTCCATGCCAATGCCTGGGCTCCAATCCAGACAAACTATATCAGAATTTCTACAGATTGGGCCTAGAAATAGTTGTTTTTAAAAGTTTTCCAAATGATTTTGATGTTTAGCAAGAGTTGAGCATCATTGTCCTAGAACGATTCCTAGACAAATAGATCCTAGGTCTGTCTTCAGCCACAACAATCACAGATAGTCTAGTTAGCTAGGCATGCATGGTTTCAAAATTACATGTTTTCCAGGCCTAGTATCACCTTGCAGCCTAATGGCACTATGGATTCGCACTGACCCTGTAGTGACCAGATGTAGCCCCAGACCTTTTCTGTAAGCATAAATGCTAATCCAGTTCTCCCTTGACCTGTGTTTGTATGGATGGATTTTTGCATATGAACTATGGTAAATCATGAATAAAGGACCACCCTGGAAAACAAGCTAAGGCTCAAGTCCAAAGGGTAAAGCTAGAAATGGGAGTATTAGTTCAAGACTGGAGTCCATAGAGATGGAAAGCAAAGGGGTGAGTTGACGTTCTGCAAAGTGATGCTTTAAGATAATCTGACAACCGTCAAGCTAAGAATTCTCAGAAATTCTGGATAATAAAATACTCATAATTGAATAAATCAAGTTGCATGTTCTGTTTTGGTTAAACAAACATACTACCTGTGTTTGTGTAGATACATTTGTATACTTTTTCACACAAGGAGAGCTTTAGGAAGGAATATTCACCAGGCAGGCAACACTGGTTATCTTGGCAAGAGGTAGAGGCTTAGAGAATGGCAGGGATATAATTAGTTTTTCCTCTATATAGCCAGCATGTGTTCTGTAATTTGAAAAACATAAAATAAAGAAAATTGAATAAATCAATATATAAATTCACAAGCAGTCAAAACTAAGAATTAAAAACTTAGTAATTTATAGTTTTTACTTTACAGTGATATAAATATTGGGAGGAAGTCATTGATATGTTCTATAAACCTGAAATGGAAATATCATTCTATATATATTTGTGTTTCCTATTTCCATGATATAAGCCTTTAAAATCATGTCTAATATTTCCAGAGCTGTCCTGAGTCCATTAAACACTCCTCTCCCCATGCAAAAAAGGAGAGGTAACATAAATATTTAAATAAACAACTGAACTTAAAGAAAAGAAAGGAGACTCTTTAGATGTCAGAACGGAAGAGGAAACTAGGAACAGTTGGTAAGAGAGATGGCTCCAAGCTGCCCAGGAAGGGGAGGAGCTCTGGCATTGGTCCTAGACATTTTAGAATCAGATTTTAATGCCCATGAGTGGGATGTTCTGCTGGAACTAGTAAAAGATACAATCACAGGGAAAAATTTTAACAAAAAGATAGAAGGAAAATGCAAGAAGCAAGAGCGAGAAAAGAAATTGGTAAACAGGTGGGCAAAACTAAACAATGAATGTATGGAATAACTATAGTAATAATGATGGTGATGATGAATTTGAGGGCATTAAAAAGTAAAACTAATATTTTAGACAGTAATTACTTGCAAGGTGGGAGGGATAATCAGAACAAAGCATTTCTGAGGTTTTGTATCATATGAGAATAAAGGAAAACTTTGATTATGTTTAGTCTCAATGTCAAGGACAAATATCAAAATTTTAAGGGTAAACACTAAAAAGGGAAAAATTAAGGATAGTTAAAGTAGAAATAAGCAATAAAGACAACTTGTTCTAGTAGACTGAGGGAAAAGAGGAAACTAGAAAGTAAAGAAGCAGCACAGTAAATTGAAGGCACAAAAAATTAAAATAGATACAAATATATCAACAAGGACAGTGTTCCTAGACAAAACAGGAGGGTTCAAACTAGAGACTCTCAAATCAAATTTTAAAACCAACCCAGTATAAGATATTTATAAATGATATACCTAAAACATAAGGACATAAAAAGTTTGAAAATACAAGCATGGGTAGAGATACCACCTGAAATTGTAAAGGAAAAGAAAGCTGGTTTGGCTCTATAAATATCAGATGAAATACTTTTTAAGATAAAAATCATTAAGAATAAGAAGAATCATTATAAAATGATAATGATAAAAAGAAAAATTCTACAAAAAAAAATCTAAAACAAGATGCAAAACAGAGACTGTGAACAAAGTTAAAAGCTTGGGAGAATATATTTGCAAGCTGAAAATTAGAATCCAGAATCAATAAGAAAGAGACAAATAGATAAGATAAAATGAGACAAAGCATATGAATAATCAAGTCCCAGAAATAGAAACCCAATAGTCAATAAATATACAAAAAGCCAGCCTTGCTTATAAACAAAGGAATTCAAGTTAGAAAAGGGAAGGGGTATAATTTGACACTCATTAGATTTGTAAATTTAAAAAATTTGATAATGCCAAATTTTGTTGAGAATGTAGCAAATGTGAGCCCTTTACATTGCTGGTGAGAGTAAAAACTGGTACTACCTCTTCAGAGAATGGTCTAGCAACAGTTAGTACACTCAAAGATATATTTCAAAAGAAGACAGACTAATGGCCAAGAGACATATGAAAAAATGCTCAACATCTCTAATCATCCGGGAAATGCAAACCAAAACCACAATGAGATATCATTTAACTCCAGTGAGAATGGCCTTTATCAAAGAGTCCCAAAATAAATGTTGGCATAGATGCAGAGAGATAGGAACATTCCTACACTGCTGGTGAGACTGCAAACTAGTACAACCTCTATGGAAAGCAATATGGAGATACCTCAAAGAGATACAAGTAGAACTACGATTTGATCCAGCAATCCCACTGCTAGGTATCTACTCAAAGGAAAAAAATAATCATCCTATAATAAAGACATCTGCGCTCAAATGTTCACAGCAGCACAATCCACAATCGCAAAGATGTGGAAACAACCCAAGTGCCCCATCAATACACGAGTGGATTAATAAAATATGGCATATGTATACTATGAAGTTCGACTCAGCCACAAAAAATAATGGTGAACCAGCACCTTTTGTATTATCCCGGATGGAGCCGGAGCCCAATCTTCTAAATGAAGTATCACAAGAATAGAGAAACAAGCACAACGTGTACTCACCATCAAATTGGTACTAATTGACCAACACTTAAGTGCACATATGCAAGTAGCATTCATCAGGTGTCAGGCAGGAGGGAGGGGAGAGAAGGGGCTGGGTAAATTCACACCTAATGCGTTTGGTACGCACTGTCTGGGGATGGGCATGTTTGTAGCTATGACTCAAATAGTGAAAAGGCAATATATGTAACCTCAATTTTTGTACCCTCATAATATTCTGAAATAAAAAGAAAAAAGAAGATACGCTACATATGCCACACAACAGAGCAATTCTACTTCTGGATGTCCAATTATTGCTGTAATTTATATGATAGAGAAAAAGTGGAAACAACCTAAATGTTTCTCAGTAGAAGAATAGATAAAGTGTGGCTTATTCATACTACATTTAAAGCAAACGGGCTGGCTTATATGAATCAAAATGGATTAATCTGATAAACATAATGTTGAAGGGGAAGAAAAACAAGTTGCAATTGATATGTACGGTAGGATGCCAAATCTGTAACATTTTGAAACACAAATAACAGTCGTTTATATTGTTAAGGGATCCATACATACGACTAGAAGCGCGGACCCAGGGGAGGAATTGATGCGGAGCAACTTCATTGTCCCAGTTACCTCTGCCTGGGGACAGTGGGGAAAGGCTGGCCAGCGTGACTACTGCAGCAATGTTCTACTCCTTTTTTAAAAAAAAATAGTTCTGAAGCAAAATGGACAAGACTTGTCTACCTAGGTGTCTGTTTTATTTACATATGTATGTATATATGGGTGTACATATAAATCAAATATTTGAAATATTGCTTAAAAGTTAAAAATGATCCATTTGAACCTCAGAGAGGTATTCAAGGAGGAAGAGAGAGGGAAGAGTGAAGAAACTGGCAAGTCCTTAAGGATGGTCAGAGAGGGGCTCCCTGGTAGCCAGATTCTGGTTAGGAATCGGGACAGGACAAGGCAAGGGGTAAAGTAGGTAACTGTGGGGTAAGCTGTGGGTTCCCTTACAGGAGCACTGTGAGCTGTGACGGGATGGGACAGTGTTCAGTGGCTTCAGAAGAAAAGCTGAAAGGAGGCTGCCTGTGGGACATGGGCCCTGATTACCTGTGCACCTCTCAGGTCCATGCTTTGGGCTGAACTGCATTGCTGTCATGACTCCCACCAAACATGTCGGCCAGGGTCTAAAAGCAGCCAAGTTCAACATTTCAGAATTGTCCAGTAGCAGAACATGTCACTCCATGGAACGTTATTTTTCTATATAATAGAGTAGCATCAGGCTCAGAGAGGTTAAGTGACTTGCTTGCGGTCACACAGGAGGGACCCCCAGCACACCTGCTCTGATTCCAAAGCCTGTGCTCTTTACATGTTTCCTCTCAGGGTTCAAATAAGCCCTTTGCAAGTTTCCTACTTCCCGCAACAGGTCCCAAGCAGTTTAAACACAGCCGTGGATATCTTTTGTTTTGTAGGTTTCCCACTGTGGCCAGACTAAAGCATGATTTAGAAAGAAAGTATAAGACGTCATTAATACCGAGGTGTTGAGTCAACCAGCTGAGGTCTGGATGTGCTTATCAGATTCCATGGGAGAGAAATGATGGCGTCCCCAGGGCTTGGCAGTAACTGGTTTCAGCTGATTGGCAGCATGACACTCCAGCAGGGACAGATGTCGTTTTGGTCCCCAAGTGAGGACCTCCTGCTTCTCACCTGGAAGGAGTTTTCAGGCCTTGACCCTTTTCCTTGGCAGGGGGTTTTTTTTGGAGTTGATGCTGGGTTTTATGGCCTGGAGAGCGACTCTCTCAGGCTAAGACAAGCAGGACGCCCTGCCACCGCCTCAGGACATCATGTCTGGTGTTATTCGAAGGTGGAAGCTGTTCTGCTTGGACAATTAGAGGTACAGTTCAGCCAGTCTCTCCTTGATCTTCAGTCTTGCCTAACGAGGTAAGTTCCAGTTTCCACTTGAGCTTTAGTGATTCTAATTGCACCATTAGGAAGGAAACTGGGGCTTAAATTAGAACACTAATAGTAAAAAATAACCATACAACAGCAGTGACAAAAAAAAATCTGCATCTTTTATCTTGACAATCAGCTCTAAAATTCAACTGAGAAAAATAATCCTCCCGTTGATGTGGTTTTCATTTTTGTCTTGGGGTTTGGTGTTCAGACACTGCAGAGAGTCAAGAACACTGGGCTAGGAGGGAGGCGCTTGGCATCTGGCCAGGTCTCTGCCACGAGCAAGGAGCTAAGGGGGCCTCGACCTCAGTTTCTCCACTGTAGGACTCGATGATTTCTCTCTCCTCCTCCTCTCTTTCTTTCACTTGTTCTTTACCTTGAGGATTTCCAAGGCCCCTTAACATTCTGCTTTTTACAACTGTGAGCACCTACCATGTGTTGAGGTGACGTGGGAGACCACAGAGATGCTTGTGATGTGATCTGACAGCCTGTGACATGCACTGAAGCCAGGGCTAGGCCGGGTGCTGGAAAGCATGAGAGTGAAAAAGAAACAGAGGTCTCTACGGGGCTAGTGAAGCAGGGTGGGTGGATTTAGGGAGCAGTGGGTGTTCTAGATGAGAGAAATGACAGTAGCAATAATCCCAGCAACAGACCTTGTATTAGTTGGACTCTGTCGGTGAAAAGTCATAAAATTCCCAATTCAAACTAGCCCAAGGGGGAAAAACGGGTTTTGTTGGAGGGTTGGTTGCGGGGCCCCGGCTTTGAGGCCGCGGGCCGCCCGGGGCCGGAATTTGGGGGGTTGGCCCCCGGACTTCTTGCTTTTGTTTTTTTTTTTTTTCTGCTTTGGGAAGGCTTTTTTTTCGTTTGCGGGCAGGGCGGTTGTTGGAAGTTCTTGTTTCCCGTTTTAAAAACTGTGATCCAAGGAAAAGAGAATTTGCCCTCCAACTTGGAAACACCTGGAGAAAATTCTGATTATATCTGTGTCTGGGTTACAAACTCACCATCGTGGACGTGGAGGTGTGGGGGTTACTGCAATTCCCATCAGAACCACATGGAGTAAGGCAAGAACATTTCTCAAAGCAAGCAAGGAACACACCAAGAAAAAGGGGGAACAGATTCTAGGGAAATAAAACATAGGTAATATTGAGCTGTACATCTGTGGAACCCATTTTACAGATGAGAAAGCTGAGGCTCAGGCAGGCTAAATCACCTGCCCACGTGATAGAAGGTGGAAGAGCCAGACCCTAATCCGGATCTGTTTGGTCCAATGTACTGCCCAGAGCCATTGCTATTCTATTTTTTGGTTTTGAAAGTAATGTATGCATGTATTTTTTTAGAATACGGACAACGTTTTAAAGAATAAGAATACAAATCACCAACATTAAGAAATAATCATTGTCAAAATTTTCGCTTGTTTTCTCCTAGGCTCTTTTTCTGTATATATGGTAGGTATTTGGCATGTGCCATTTTCTTATTTGTGGTCTTGACCATGAATCCACAAGGTATATATCCAAGGACTGATTGCATGACTGCAATCAATGTGCCCTGCCCAGATTCCTTTACAGACCAGACCATCCCCTGCTGCTGTGAATGTTGGCTACTAATGGATCACAGCTGGTCCTACGTGAGATGTCTGGGAGGTTTTCTTCTCCTTCAGAGCCCCACAGTCAAAGATTCACTACAAGGGAGTGATAAAAGCCCAGCCCCCCTCCCTCAAGGTAGGAAAATGCCAGGGTCCTCTGCAATCAGGTAGGAGCTAGATTTCAATTGAAAGGCATCTTGGGCTCCTTCCCCTCCTCTGATCTGTTTTTATATCTCCTTAGAGATTTCCTTCAACTTACCACTTGCACAGGAATTCTCATCTTAGGCTTTGCTTATGGGAAACCCAGCTTGGCAATGACCCAGTAAGTTTTCTTGTCCTGGGAGATGGATTCTAATCCACTACTTATTGAAGATGGGGTGGCCACTCTGACCAACCACCAGCATTCACAGCTCAACATGGTTTTGTATTTTTTTCTCTTTCATGTTTGTAATAACTCTTATGAAGTGTTAAAAGCTGTGTTTCCTAGTTTTAAAAGCCAATTACTTTACACAATTTTTAAGTCATGTATTTATAGAATCATTAAGGCTCTGAAGAAAAACATGCATTATTCAGTTAAATTTTACTGCATTTTATGGGAGAAAAGTATATGCTGTAGTAGAAGTCTTAATTTAAGAATTCATGAAGGTTTTTTAACTTATTGATTATCATATTCCCTCCATTCTGAGACATACAATTTAATGTTTTTTAAAGTCTTAGAACCAACGAATGCATTGAGTGAATGTTTTTACTCCCATCCCACTCCCCTAAAAACTTACTAAACATTTTTTTATTCATCCTCATGAATTCTAGACACCCTCATTGGATTTCAGGACACCCCCTCATGAATAAAATTTAGAATAAGATGAAGTCAAACCTATAAATTAATTTGGAAAAAAATGACTTCATAACATGAGTGTCCTTAACTAGTAGTATGTTTTGCTTCCCCATTTATTCAGTTTTATGTTTATTTTTCCCAATTGATCAGTATGATTTTCTCCATGTGTATCCTGCACAATTCTTATTTAAAAATTAGTATTTTGTATTTGCATTGCTAAGGGGAATGTGAGTTGTTTTCCATATTTTCTAACTGATATTGTTAATATATATAAAAGCTATTTTTAATATTTCTTTTTTCCTCATATCAATAGTTTATTTCTTTTTATTGTTGAGTTTTATTCCACTATATAGATACACCACATTTAAGCATTTACCCATTGAAGGATATTTAGGTTGTTTCCAGTTTTTGGCTATTACAAATAAAGCTACCATGAGCATGTATAGGTTTTTGTGTACACATTTCATTTCTCTGGGATAAATGCCAAGCATGATTTAAGATCATATGACAAGTACATGTTTAGTTTTATAAGAAACTGCCAAATTATTTTCCAGAGTGGCTGTACCACTTCAAGTTCCTACTAACAATATATAAGAGATCCAGTTTTTCCACATCCTCACCAGCATTTGATATTGCCCTTTTTTTTGGTGTTCCAATAGATCTACAGTGATATCTCATTGCAGTTTTGATTTGTGTTTCCCTAATAGCTAATAGTATTGAACATCTTTTCATGTGCTCATTTGCCATCTGTATATCTTCTTTGATAAAATGTCTGCTGATGTCCTTTGCCCATTTTCTAATTGATTATTAGTTTTTGTTTATATTTCTTAAACCTTTGATTACCTTAGAAATCTATCTTATTACTATTATTGTTTTAGTTGATCATTTGGGGTAAGCTGAAATGCATAATTATACCACTAGCAAATAAAGAGAATGTCTCTTTTTTTCCATTGATATACATTTTATTTCTGATGCATGTCTTATACATTGACCAGAACTTCTATAAAATTTTTAAATAGAGATAAAAGAAATTATTGAGAATGGCCCTGGTATTTCACCACTAAGCATGAAATTGAGTGCTTACTAAATTTATTTTTCAACATATTATTAAAAATGTGTCTACCCTAAGAAATTGAAGGATTTCCACCAATGATGGGGTTGAATATTATCAAACGCAACTTTAGGCATTCATTAAATCAAATTCAGGATGATGTAGTAGAAAGTACTTTTACACTTTGGAGTAAGTTAGACCTGTAGTTGAATGTCAGCCCTGTGCTTTCTTTGGCCTTTACCAACTTACCTAACTCAGCTTTTGTTTCTTTAGCTCTAAGATGATAAAAATAACTCATAAGGTTCTGTAGTCACTAATTAAACTAGCTTTGATGAAGTGTCTAATACACTGATGATTAATTACATTATAGGTGTTCAATCACCCAGTATTTCCAAAATGAATTCCACTTTGCCATGGCATACCATTCTTTTAATATATGCATGGATTTAACTTGCCATCATCTTATTTAGAATTGTTGCATCTTCATCATTGGCTTTTGTGCCAAATATGAAAGCATTGTATTTTCTCTGTGTTTAAATCTCCTGGAAGATAACTATAACTTAAAAGTCAGAAGGGATAACTAAACTATTGTTAATGACCTACAACATGCAGAAAATTGCATGAAGGAATGCATTCATATATCCATTTGAAGCCAAAGTAATTGATAACTTATTTCCAATTTCTGCTCAATGTCAATGGCCATTGCATACTAGCCACTTCATGTGATTCTTTTAATATGATTGTCACAAAACACCATGAGAGGGAAATTACTCTCCCCATTCTGTGGATGAGGGAAATGAGGCTGAAAGAGGTGAGTATCCTGCCCAAGATCACACAGTAACTGATAGAACAAGGTAAGGCTGCACCTAAAATAAATCCTCTTACTCACTAAGCAATAGTGTCTCAATGAAGACATCTCAATTGATCTCATTCTTTGTTCACTTCTGTTAGTTCATATTTACTCCCCAAATCATGTACTTCTTTAAAGGCTTCAAATATATTAGAATTAAGTTGTCTATAATATTTTCTTAGACTATATTATCTCCCCCAGTATCTGCTTGATTCCTTTCAGTGCTGCCCTAATTGTATGCATTTATGCTAGCTTTCTCTTTTTATGATTTGTAATTACCAGAAGTTAATTTATGCTGTTGTCATTTTCAAAAGCCAGCTCTTGGGTTTACTCTTCAATTTCATAATTTTCTAGTTTTCTAATTAACTGCTGATTTTATCTTTACTATTTCCTTCCTTCTGATTTATTTGAATTAGTTTTGAATTTCTTTATTTCTTTATAAAAATAAAGAAATTAGTGTCTTTTTAATTCTCTCTTGTTTAAATTGAAAATATGGAAACTTATAATTTCCTTTGAATACAGCTTTGGCCATTTCCATAAGTTTTAAAATGCAAAGTTATCATTTTCCTAATTTTCAAATAATGCATAAATGTAATTTTGATGGGTATTTTTGAATTAAAAGATATTTTTGAATTAAAAGATATGGAAGTTTCATTTCAAGAGTTTGGAATTTTTCATTGATACTTTATAAAATCGTACTAATTTTAATTTTGTTTCATTCTTGTCGCAGAATTTAACCAGAACCATTTCTGATATTCTGTTTGTCAGTTTTCTTTGTAAACTAGTATAGATTAATCTTGGTAAATGTTCCATGAACAACGAAGATTATATTTTCTCTCCATTTCCAGAACACAAAACTTAATCCAAATCTATTAAATCAAAGTCAATATTATTAATCACCCATATCCTTTCTGTTTTCTACCAAAGACTACATGATGGTATTTTGGTCTTGGTTTTGGTTTTGTTTTTTGTTTGGAGTTTGTCTAGGGGATTTTGGGTTTGTTTGTTGCCTTAGCATTCGAAGGATACAATATGTGCTCATCAATGGTGATGAGAAATGGGATTACCCATCTCTCTCTGAATATCAAGGTGTGTGTGTGAGGTTTCTCAGAGACTCTGATATGATCTTTTGAACATTTTTACCACCTTTGTTGAAAATCACTGGGATAAATGGAAATTAGTGTCATAGCACTCATGTGAATTTTACCTTTTGTCAACATAAACTGACTCCCTCTAAATAATTACATTTACCTTGTACTGTACCTTTTTGCTGATATTGTCACTCCTATCCTCATTTTTATTTCTAACGTTTTTCACTCTCTTTTAGGTGAAGCTTTGACAAATAGCTATAATTGGTTTTGGTACACTTTGAACCAGATCTGAGATAGATTGTCTTTTAATGGGAGAATTTAATCTATTTCCACTTATTGTCACTACTAATGTTTGGCTTTCACATATTTAACTGATATATTTGACTTCTGTCAGTCAAATCAGCTTTTGACTTAAGCAGCTTTTTGTTGCAAAATGTTTCCTTTAAATTTTAGGGGCCACTCCTTCATCTGTCTGCCCCCATGCCCAGGCCTGGCCTGTCCCCTGCTTATTTGGTGACAGCAGGGCTGACCCCAGAGCTGCATTTCTCTCCTCAGCTGGCTTCAGGCTGGGTTTGGCCAGCGGGACACATTGACAGAGGATCGGAGAGCAGAAAGCAGGGAGAAGTCAGGGTATTTCTTCCTTCCCCTCACTGTGACTGTATCCCTTCTGGATTCCAACTCCTACTGGGCAGGGCCCTCTCTTAGTTCCCATTTTGAAACAGCCCTTTATAAAATTAATAAAGGGGCTGCAAGGTGGGAACTGTGGTAGGGGCTTGAACTTTGTAAAGGCACAGGCATAGTTAAAAAAAATAAATAACCAGCCATTGTTCCCTAGCTTGCTTTGCTATACTTGCTTACTACACACGAGTCACATAGCAGATGGTCATAAAGATTCTTAGCTTTCTCCATTGCTCCCAAAGATAACATCACCCTTGTGAAACCTATGGCTGGTCTTTGAGATCTCTTCCAGGCCCTGCATGCAGGTGGACGAAGTGCCCCAACCAGACCAGTGGCCCATACCAAAAACGGACTCAACAGGACTTGCGACCCCCACCCAGGAATTGACTCAGCACAAGAAGATAATTTCTACACCCCTATGATCTCTTCTTGAGCCCAACCAATCAGTGAGACTGATTCTCTAACCTCCTGCCTGCCAAACCATCCTTAAAAACCCTAGACTCCAAATTCTCAGGAAGATGGATTTGAGAAATTTCTCCCATCTCCTCACTTGGTGCTCTGTGGTATTAAACTCCTTCTCTGCTGCAACCCCTGCTATCTCAGGGTATTGACCCTTCTTAGTGCAGTGAGCCATATTAACCTGGCTGGCAGATACCTTGAAATGTATTATGACCTAAGGAACAGCATATTACTTTCTACCCCCACCCCCCACCCCACAACTTCCTAAATTTTCTGTATGTACATTTCTGCAGCCCTCATTTAATCATGGCTTATTTTTTTAGTTACTTGGGTATATGTCCAACTCCCAATTGAGCTCCATGTCCATCCAGGGCAAGAATGGTATCTTACTTGTCTTTATGCTCATGGTATGGAGGGCTCAATTCTCATGTGAGTGGCAAGCTAAGAGCTAAACTGATTTGGGTGGGCCCTGTAGAGGGAGGGCTAGCAGGTGTGTCTAACCTGGCACTGCAGGTGTCCCTGAATAGTATGGAGTGTGCAAAATAAGAATTGGGTAAAGCAGGACAAGGGGCAGTAGAGGAGGGGCTAAGTATGGTTTCCAAATAAAGAATTATGGTCTTATGGCAGATTTTATGGACTAGAATATAAACCAGGATATCTGAAAACTAAGAAGAAAAAGGGGCAGAAACCAGAGAACAGGACAATTGTCTCTATAATATTTAGCATGAACTGTGGACAGACGAGCTATGCTTGTCTGAGCCAGGGTGGCTGCAAAATAGGCCCTCGGTGAATGTTTATTAAATTGGCACAACCAAAAGGAACTATGAAAAGGAATTTACCCTTCAATTCTCTCAACCCTCTGCTAGAAATCCTGAAAAAAGTTATATAAAGTTATCCTATACCTAATAACTGGAGGGGGGAAAAAAGGCTTGGTGTCTAAGAGTCTAGGATTTGAAATTGCACAGATACATCACTTCAAGATCCACCCCTCATTTTGTCTGTGATCTTGGGCCACTCACCTTCCTCGCTCAGTTTCCAGCTGTAAAATGAGGATAACAGTGCCTTTGTCACAGGGCTTTTTTGAGGAATGAATCACATATAAATTATCTAGCACACCGGAATCATTCAAGAAATGCTAGTAGCCGACCTCCCTTCATCAGGATGCCTCGGGAGCCTAATGAGGGTGAGGCAGGGATGCTTACTTAACAATTTGGAGTAAAGCAGCCCCGGTGAGCAGACGTGCATTCTTGATTCCATTACTTGCCAGAAGATGAAAATGAGCAGTCCTGCAGATCGCGCCCCATCCCTCGCAGCTGCCTCTCTGCTGAGGGATTTACGTTCTGTGTGATTAAGCCTGAAACGGACAGGAAGCTTTATTGTGCTGGGCTGGCAGGCGTGGAGGAGCAAATTGATAAAGATGCCTGGGTCAGTGGCAAGCTGGGTGGCTCCTAATTTATAGGAACACGTCGAGTTCCATTACTCAGCCCTTCCTTTCTGTTCCCATCTCCCCACCGCCCCCACTGGACTCTTCTCTGCCCCTCCTTGCCAAATGGTGACTTATTTATGGGAGGGAAGAGGATTTACTGATAAATATGAGACATCAGCCAAACACACAGCAAGTAAATTCCCAGAGAACCAACATCTGGTAACTTGACTCAATACAGCAAACAGTTGCTGAACTCTCTATGCCAGGTGCTGGATGGCACTGATATGGGGGACACAGGTCAGATCCTCCCTCAGGGCACTCCAGGCACTTACCCTGTCTGTCTCCTGTGCAAAAAAATAGGATCATGCTAGTTTCTGTCTCACAGTAATAGTTGCTCAATAAAAAATAGCATTTATTATCACTGTTGTCCATCCAGGCTCCCAGATTCCAAACCTTTGCACCCCCCCCCTTAAGAAACCCTTCCTCACTGACCACAGTAAGGCTACTGATGCCAGATTTGGAGGAAATATCCCACCCCATCTCAGGGCAACTGTGCTAGCTCATCTCCCTTCTTAACTTTTGCTTCAGAGAAGGAGGAAGACATGGAAGGGCAGGAGGAAGGGTGCTAACGTTCACTGAGAAACTACTTTGGTCCAGGCAAGAAGGGAGTCATCATACACCATCCTAGTTAGCAGCTTCCCAGTCGGGTTCCCTGCCTTTGGTCTCACCCTTCTTCTTCAATCAGACACGTCAGCCAAGATATATTTCTCACACATAGTTCTGATCTGATCAGGACCTGAACTAAAATCCTCGAGAGCTTTGTATGGGCTCCCCTGTGAAGATCATTGTCCTCAGTCTGGCCGCCAAGTTCTTCGTGATCCAGTCCCAAGAGAACACCTCCCACTCCTCCCACCCACCCCTCAGTCCACCAACCAGAGGGATTGCTTACGTTCCAAGGAGTCGCCTTTTACATCCCCTTGCTTTTGCTCATGCAGGTTTTTATTGAGATTGCCTTGAGTTTACTCATTAATTCAGGAAGGATCGACATCTTTAAGCTTTTGATTGACTCTTCCCATCCAGGTTCCCAATATGTCCCTCATTGAGTCCAGCCATTCTCTGTGGATTTGGGTAAAGTTTTATATTTGCCTTCGCATAGTTCTGACATATTTCTATCTAATTGCCAAGAGTTTTAACTCTTTTTTGTCATTGTTGCTGTTATGAACAGTTCCTTTTTCTTATATATGACATCTTCTAATTACATCTTTCTAATCAATAAGAATACTACCTTCATGTTCATTTTACATTCTGCTACCTTACTGAACTCTCTTATTATCATCAACTACTTTTAGCTGAGTCTCTTGAATTTTCTAAATAGACAGCTATATCATCAATAAATCGTGACATTTTTAGTTTAAACAAGTATGGTAAACTTATAAGGTTTATAAGTTTAAATTTGTTTATTTTTTGTTTATTTTATAAGTTTATAATTTGTTTATTTTTGCATGGATTAACGTTTACAATCCTTTGCTTGCTTGTTTACTTCAACTAATGTATACATTTGAATTAAAGATCTTCATATTATGAAAATACATACATACACACTTAGCTAAGGATTATTTTTTAAAGATATGTTTTTCAAGTAGTCTGAAAATTTATACAATATAAAATAAAATTTTTTCATTCAACGCTGACAGGCATAGAAGTATATACATGCATGTAGCTGCAGCCTATTTTTTTTTCTTTTCTTTTTAAAAATAACGTACAGGGAAACTGGCATACAGTTCTATGAGTTGGTGTACAATTCTATGAGTTTCAACACATAACATCAATTTGTATAACCATCACCGCAGTAAGCATGCAGGACAATTCCCAACAGTTATTTTGTGCTGCCCCTTTTTAAGTCACTGCCTCTTTCTATCCCAACCCCTAGTAACCTGTTCCCCATCACTATAATTTTGCCTTTTCCAAAATGTCATATTAATGGAATTATATAAACCATTGTGTTTTGTATCTTCCTTTCTAATATTTGTATCTCCTTTTCTATTTTTCTTGTCTTACTGCTTTGGCTAGGATGCCATTGGATTCCATCAGTTTATTTGTGCCTCCTCCACTAGACTTTAAGATTCTAATGAGTGTGGCTAGTGTCTCCTTTGGCACCTAGACCAATTGTTATCCAATGGAGGTGCTCACTCTGTGTTTGTGGAATACACAAAGGCATCGCTGTCAATAGATGGGCTTCCTCTGGGGCCACCATACAAGCTTCCCATAATTCAAAACCCTATTCCAAAAAAGGGGTAAATTGTAGAGCTTAGCTGACTAATGGGCCTGGAAAGAAGTCCCCAGGCCCATTTTCATTATTAATTTGTCAAGACGTAAAGAAAAAAATCTTGCCTATTATATGCTCACTGTGCTACATGGAACTGTCAGCCTCTAATTAGAATTAATTAGCTAATGTGGATTTCAAACCTAGAAGACAAGGAGCTCTGCCTGTGTTCTCAATTGGTGTTAATTATCATGGAAACCTGTTTCAACCCAAAGGCTCACTCACAGCACTGAGACGCTCCTTCCCACGCAAGCAGGCTCCAGGAAGTAACCCGTGTGATGCTGGCTGACAGTCAACAGGACCCTCTTGTGTCGAGATCTTGGGGAGAGGGAAGCTCATGCTCTCCGGGGAGCATTATTAATGCTTCCTTTTCAATAGGACTTTTGTGAAGAATTCAGGATACTCTGGCAATCCCAAGAGTTCCAAGTTCGACAGGCAAATAGAAATCAAATTAGGAGGGGCTGTGTCTAGAACCAGATGTTCCTATTCAGTGGGGCAGCAGAAAGGCACCCCAAACCACTTGAGGGTCCATGTGAGAGGTCTCAATCCAAAAGATATATCTCCCCTCCTAGATTGTGTGGGATGGTTGCTCCTTGTACTTGCCAAAAAATGAATGTAACAGCCTTCTTGTCTTGAGAAAAGTTTGTTATATTTCACACAGAAAACCACATTAGGAAAGCATACGTAGTATGGGTTCCTGCTCACCTGGCTGTCAGTGCTGGCCTCCCATAACATGTGGGCGTTTCTTCCTTTGTTTCATGGCCATTGGTAGATCTGGATCCATCCACCTATCCAGGTCACGGCCAGAGCAAGGGTCAGAGTTTGCACTGGTGCTGGTTAGGCAGCTCGCAGATCTACTTTCCACAGTTGTGACAAGTCCTACTTTATCGCTCCTGTCACAGACTCCTGCCTCTTGGTCAATGGCCATTCAGGGCCAGGTATTCAGGTGGTCTCCTAATGAATGTGACAGGGTGGGTCGATGATTGGCCTATGGTAACAGTTTCAGAATCAAGCATTTATTTGTATCCTAACTCTTGGCACCAGGGAAAAATAATAAGGCATTAAAAAGATAAATAATTTTTAAAATAATGTTTAAAATGTGGGTCCTCTATTGTCCAGTCTTAGATATAATAAAAGTGAGCTAAGGAAAAAAAGGCAGGGGAAGGGGGCTCGATTTTTCTTCTGTCCCACAGCAAAATAGCAAATGTATTTCCTCCCTTGAAGGCTGGATCCTTCCTAATCTGAATGGGTTCAAATTTGAGCTAAATCTGCAGGTAGGGTCCCCAGGAGAGGACTAAAGCATACATATTAATATGCATTGGAATCACCTGGATATGGTGTTAAAATGCAGACTCTGCCTGGGTGGGTCTGAGATGGGTTCAAAGGTTCTGCTTCTAAGGGCTCCCAGGCAATGATGATGCTATGATAGACCACACGCTGAGTGGCAAGGTGTATTAGATTCTTATTGCTGCTGTAATAAATTAGCTCAAACTTGGGGGCTTAAAACAACACAAATTTATTCTCCTACAGTTGTATAAGTCAGAAGGCTAAAAATACTTCTTACAAGGATCCTGGGGAGAATCCCTTTCTTGATTTTTCCAGCTTCTAGGGATTTCCCCCATTCGTTGGCTATGGCCCCTTCCAGCAATGACAGCACTGCAACCTCTGCCTCCAACAGCACGGCACCTTCTCTAAATCCTACCCTCTTTCCTGCCTCCCTCTTACAAAGACCCTTGTGGTTACATTGGCCCCACATGATAATCCAGGATAACCTCATCTCAAGAGCCTTAATTTTAAGCACATTTGCAAAGTTCCTTTTGCCATATAAAGTAACATATTCAGAGATTCTGGGGATTAAGTCATGAACATTTTTGGGGTGAGTGGAATTATTATTCTGTCTACCACACAGACATTAATGAACCTGAAGAAGATGGTACAGGACACAGATAGATGGATGGTCAGTGTTTGAAGTTGGGTTGGGATCACACAATGATAAGAGACTACAAATAAACAGTATTTGGAGTTTCCGGCATTCAGGCACACGGTGGGAAGGCATGATAGTGGCTGGGGTGTCTGACAGCAGGTACTGGATTCTGGGATAAGATAAAGACAGGTCTTCAGCGACTGCAGGGGGCACAGCCAGGGACCTGGGGCTGACCAACGCTAGAAGAGATGGAAAGCTTAACTTGCCACGTGGCTGTTCCAAGTCACACTTAACTAAAGAAAAAGAATCTCAAACATTCTTTGCTTCTCTCCCTTACTAGCTCAACTCCCAGCAGGATCTGCTTCTCCGGCCCTAATTATGACCAGCAAGGGGGAGCTGGTTGGCAAAGTGTAAGTGACAGGAGCCTTGAGGGAAAGTGACCATATCAGTTCAGAGTTCCTAATGGCCAAAAAAAGGCTGGACACATCCTGAAACTGAAAGAAGCTTTCAGAAAGTCCCGATTAAGACTGGCACAAGGATGTGGCAGAGAAGGTGACTCACGGCAGCTCTCAAAGCCCCAATTCTGACCATGTGTGCCCCAGGGAGACAGGAGGAGCCTATACATAGAGATCTCTCCTGGGGCTTGAGTTTTTAAAGGTCAGGTAAAGATAAAAACTGGGCATATCCCCAAGGGGTGATTGGTATGAGGGTGACACTGAACGGTAGAAATGGATGAGGACACTAAAGCCACAAAGAAGTGGGGCTAAAAATTGTTGAAAACAAAATAGGTTTTTCTGGGTCAGTGTAAAAGACCAGGAAGGTCAAGCAAGGGATGAAGCCAGCACTTGGGTCTTGTGCTGGACATTCTCCGTCACTCACCCCTGCCCCCACTCTGCCCCTGCTGTGCTGCGAATCCCAGGGAAGGATTTCTGTGGGCTCTATCCCACCCCTCTTGCTCTCTGGTTTGGGCAAAGCTTCGCTAATGAGAAACACGGGCTGGAGATAGAAGGGTGGAAGTAGAGGAAAGCCAGGGTATTTATTTTCCAGCTCCATCCCTGCTGGACCAGAGTGGGCCACAGCTCCTGTTAGGCAGCCCTCTGTTAAAGTCACAGCTCTCTTCTGGCTGCCGGTCACTGTGCTCAGCAGGGTGGGGATAGAGCCAGCTGGGGAACCTCTCTTCTGACCCCAGGGCCAGTCACTGTCACCTCCATCAGCTACAGTGGACCTCCCTGGACCTTGGCCTCCCCAGATAGTCACCAAGGAGCATTGCTGCAGTTGTGGTGTGAACTCCCCCAGGGTGGGTGAATGGAGAGGGTGTAAGGCTGTGAGTTTCCACCTCTTTTGCCCAAGGCAGATATTCTGAGTTCCTCAACCAAAGGCTCTTTTTCCTTCTGGCTGGGTCTGGCTCCTGGGCCTTGGCCTTTGTGCCATGTCTGGTGCCCCACTCAGCACACCCAGCACTGCACCTCTGACCGGCCTTGCTCCCTACCCATCAGCGCTGCCCTCCACTCACCACCTCTCAGGTGACAAGTCTTCCTGTATCACCATCTCCTTTCCCCTCCCTCCAGGTGCCCTCACTCTTGGCTTGACACCCCTCCCTTCACCATGAGCACTGTTGCTTCTCTGGGAGCCAACATTCAGGCATGGATATGTCTACAAACTGGGACTCATTTAAAAGCAAACAAGATATATCCAATGCTTGAAAAATTCCCCCAGTTGGAGTTTATCAAAGTCTAACTTCTTTCTGGAAAGCAATTTAGCCTGAAGCAGATTCTGTCTTTACAGTCTTGGGTAGAGTAGGAAGCAGCTCAGGTCTGGGCGGGGAGGGGGAGAGCTCAGATACCAGGCCTAGTTCTTTGATAAAGTATGTGTTGTTCTCCTTAAGTCGCTTCTCCTCACTGACCCTTGGTTTCCTCAATTGGGCTGGATTAAGAGATCATTCGAGATCTTTCTGATTTTATAATTGCATTTTATTTTGTCATGTTCTGTTTGTGTCTCTGGAGCACAATGATCTCCAATTATCTATTAGGGGAATTATTCCAATAGTCCTGGAGCCCAACAGACATGCAGTATATATAATTCACCATTTCACTCCCAAAGCAGATCTTCCTCTCATATCCATCCTGGCTGGCTCTATCCATCCAGTAACCTAAACTTGGGCATCACCTAGACTCTTAGAGTCCTCACTCTTCATCATCCCCCGTAGCTGGCCAATCACCAAATTCTACCCATGCTCGCTGTACAAAATCTCTTGTGTCTGAGCTTTCTTCTCCAGCCCCTCATTCATCCTGCCCAGTTCAAGCCCCTATCAACTCTCTCAGATTTTTGAAACAGCCTCCTACCTGATTTCCTGACTCTAGTTATCATACATAGGTCCTCCAATGCTGGCTGCCAAAGTTAAAAACTCCAAAACACAAAATTATGCTCAACACTCCCCACCCCCCCCCCCAAGAACCCTCAGTGGCTCCCTGAAGGCTAGAAAACAAGACTCAAACTTACAGCTTGCCCTTCAAGGCTCTTTGTGATCTGAAACTGTGTCTATATATCTGTCAGAGACTCAAAATTGATGCTGACAATAATACTACATCTAACTGCTGACTTTTGTGCCAAGCTCTGTGCAAGAACTCTTCATGGAATATCTCAAGTCACGGCTCAGTGAAGTGATTCCGGGGGCAGATGTCTCCAATCACTCCTTGACTTCAAGAGACTTGAAATATTTTGAATTCTGATGTGGCCCCTCAATTCCAGCATCCATGTTTCCCAAAGCTCAAATTAGAGATGTTACTTAATTGATAGAAAAAATCCAGGTCCCTATCAAGAGGACCATGAAAATGCAGAATAATGTGGGTGCAGGTATCCTAAAGCAATTAGCTGAGAACAAAGACAAACCATTATGTAAACACATAACCATTTAGCTTCATGCAGATTGCGGTCAAGATACCAAGAACTAGGGGAGGGAATTGAATTCAAATTTTTTTGCAGCCTCTTCTTCCAGTGCATTCTAATCCTCTTTGAAAATTAGGCTTCCATATGGTTAATATTAGAGCTCTGTGGCATTAGAAATCTGCAGCCTTAGCTCATTAATACTCATTAACAGGAAAAGCTCATAATAATAACCCTTCACATCTGTGCAGCCCTTTATGGTTTTAAAGTTATGCCATATGCATTATCTCATTTAATTGCCTTTAATCATTAGGATTTAGGGTCTAAGTAAAGATGTTCACTGAGAAAAGGGATACTCTCACTAAGTGATCACAGGGAAAGATGGGAAGACCAAGGAGTGCCTGGGATGTAATGGGGAGATTCAGGGCATGAATCAGTTAAGCGCAAGGCTCTGCGTTACAGAATATTTTTTAAAGGAATGCTGTCAATGCTGCTTGCAAGGAAATAAAAGAATAGGAACAGACATCACTGAGTGCTGCCTAGAACAGATCTGGCTTTAATGAGCAGGTAAGAGTTAACTTATAATGAGCACATCAGAGTGTGGCCCACCAAAGGTTGGGCTTGGATTCTTTTGCAGCAATGTGCATGAAAAACCACACATTCTCGGGGCTGGATAAATAGCTTTCCTGCCCTTGGTCTTTATTTTCTCCATAAACCAAGGGTAATACTCCCTGTTGGGCAACATGGACACACTCATTCACATACAGGTGGTATGATGTGATGAGAAGGCTTAAAGTACTAGCTCTGGAGTCTGAATGACCTGCGTTCAGTTCCTTTGAAACCACTTCCATTTGCAAGTCACACCAGCTCTCCAAGCTTGAGTTTCCTCATCTGTAAAAATGCTAATAATACTCCCTTTGTGCATAGCATGGCTGTGAAAGATCAAATCCAATGATCCAAAGGAAGGCCTAACATGTAGCAATCCCTCACCAAAGTTGTACTGCTGTTTTATTTAAATGCACTGAGATTTCTATGAGCTTGCTCCTCTCCCCCTCTAGGCTTTGAGTTTCCTGAAGGGCAGAGAACACAGCTGACCTCTGCATGCATCTTGTAGGGAGGACAGTGAAGCACAATCCCACAGTACTGC